TTCACATCTGGAGTGTGGGAAATAATCTCGCAGCCTAAATAAAATTTCAAGTATTGCTAGATAAGCAAAGGGTTAAGGCACATGGAGTTCCCCTGTAAATTCCTAGAGAAGACATTCTGTGAGGTCATATCCCCTGCTCCTCCTGGTGGAAAAGGTAAGGAAAATAATCCTTACTACTTCCTTTCTCCTCAGACCCCAGTCTCTTTTTCACCATGCTTCTGAGGCAGACAGACACCTGTCTGGTCTCTGCTTCAAGTGGAGACTTCATTTTGAACTGAAATATGCATTTCGTAATCTAGAAGTAGAATTTGCCTGCCTTGCTTTCATTACTGTTACTGCATGAATCAAGTGTGAGACTTTATCTAAGCAAACACCATTTTTATGCTTAATTTACAGACTGATTCTTTTAATTAATAACCTGGATAAATTGCCATAAGGCTACACAGACTCACCCCAAAGTTTCCACTTTAATGCTGCAAGGGATGGTATTTAAAACTCTGCTAATTGTTGTAAGTTTAAATGTTCTGCTCACATACTTGAGTCATAGGGAGGATAAATTGTAAAATATATCCTATCCTGCCTATAAATTCCACCTAATGTGGAGGTTGACAGGTTGCCCAGCCTTCCACTATTTAAAAATATTTATATTTCAGCCCTGGGTGAAACTGTTTCTCAGATTAGAAGGAGGAACCATCCTGTGGTACAGAACTTCTGTTACGGGAAATGCAACACTAGATCTAATTTTATACAAAATTATTTCCCAACAAAGGAAGTTATGGGATCCAAAACACCACTCTGTACAGTCCAACTGTTTCACCTCTTACCTTTGCCACCCAGTACTCCTACGATGGAGGGCAGAATATTATTAATAAGGCTGTTTGTCTCCCCACCATCCGAGATCAAGTGGGTGGTGACCATTCAGAGAAGGAAGGGGTAAGGAACCTTTTCTGGCCATTAGGCCAGATCCTTATCTCCCACCAATGGAGGGCCAAGTTTAACAGGTGGGAACACCCCTCTGTCAACTGCCTGACATCACAGTGACATCAGATGATGCTGCGCTTTGAAGCCCCAACTGTTGGGACTTCCAAGTGTGGTGTTATTTAAAAGCCCTTTTGCAAACAGCCTCACACTACATTTTGGCTGCATGTGCCTATTTAACCCAGACCCTCCAAGTCTCCCTATTTTCCAGGGACAGTCCTAAATTTACAGAAGCAGTCCCAGTTTCTGATTTGATCCTGGAATGTTCCACTTTTCCTTAGGACGTCCCTATCAGAGAAATGGGGGACAGGGGGCGGGCGGGTGTGGGGGATTCCCTGGTCCTGAATGGGGTAACTGTGCCCCTGAAGGACCAGGTGCGCAGCCTGGGAGTCATTTTGGACTCACAGCTGTCCATGGAGGCACAGGTTAATTCTGTGTCCAGGGCAGCTGTCTACCAGCTCCACCTGGTACGCAGGCTAAGACCCTACCTGCCCACGGTCTGTCTTGCCAGAGTGGTGCATGCTCTAGTTATCTCCCGCTTGGACTACTGCAACGCGCTCTACATGGGGCTACCTTTGAAGGTGACCCGGAAACTGCAATTAATCCAGAATGCGGCAGCTAGACTGGTGACTGGGAGTGGCCGCCGGGACCACATAACACCGGTTCTGAGAGATCTGCATTGGCTCCCAGTACGTTTCTGAGCACAATTCAAAGTGTTGGTGCTGACCTTTAAAGCCCTAAACGGCCTCGGTCCAGTATACCTGAAGGAGCGTCTCCACCCCCATCGTTCAGCCCAGACACTGAGATCCAGCGCCGAGGGCCTTCTGGTGGTTCCCTCATTGTGAGAAGTAAGGTTACAGGGAACCAGGCAGAGGGCCTTCTCGGTAGTGGCGCCTGCCCTGTGGAACGCCCTCCCAGCAGATGTCAAAGCAATAAACAACTATTTTACTTTTAAAAGTCATCTGAAGGCAGCCCTCTTTAGGGAAGTTTTTAATGTTTGATGCTGTACTGTTTTTAATATTCAGTTGGAAGCCGCCCAGAGTGGCTGGGGAGGCCCAGCCAGATGGGCGGGGTATAAATAATAAATTATTATTATTATTATTATTATAAATGTTGGAGGGTATGGAGTTATGCAACCCCCAAGCCAAGGAGATAAGTAACTATACAGTGGTACCTCAGGTTAAGTACTTAATTCATTCCAGAGGTCCATACTTAACCTGAAACTGTTCTTAACCTGAAGCACCACTTTAGCTAATGGGGCCTCCTGCTGCCGCCACACCGCTGGAGCATGATTTCTGTTCTCATCCTGAAGCAAAGTTCTTAACCTGAAGCACTATTTCTGGGGTAGCAGAGTCTGTAACCTGAAGCGTATGTAACCCGAGGTACCACTGTACAACCTGTAGAAGACATCAGGAGGCAGCCCTGTGTAGGGAACGGTTTTATTTAATGTTTGATGTTTTATTATGTTTTTATATCTGTTGGAAGCTGCCCAGAGTGGCTGGGACAACTCAGTCAGATGGATGGGGCATAAATAATAAAATTATTGTTATTATGGAATAGAACGTCCCTATTTTCATCGGAGGAATGTTGGACGGTATGCTTAACCCCACTCATCAGCTGATGAGTAAGGGTTAAATCCTACTCCTTGCCGTAGTGTGCAGAGCCAAAGCAGACTTACAGTGATGCCAGCTGATTGTCAGGTAGTTGTGGTTCTGGCCCATGCATGCCAAGTTTCACCCCATGGTGGGCCAGGATTGGTCTCTGGGCCAGATACCCCCCAACACTGGGGCAGATAAAATGTCTCTTGCTTGCCTGGGTAGAGAAATGTTTGTGCAGAAACCTCTGGCTTTTGCGTGGCTGGAATTCAGCCTACAGGTAAGAATCGAATCTATTTCTGCCTCTGGCTCAGTCCATCACTAGCATGTTGTCCCCGGAAAGTTGCCTCTGTAGCAATTCAGCCCCCAGGCCAAAAAGAAAAAGCGCCTCATCCTTGTTTTACAGGAAGGCACAGCTGCTTTGAAAGCAGGCCTCGTGTCGCTGAACACCCTGGGTGTGACTTCTCTTTTCACCTGGAGAATAAGCGCTGCGACTTTCTAAACTGAGAGCAGGAAGGGGGCTTGCTGAGAAGCTGCCCCATCCCGCTGAACAGCCTCTGGCCCCCAGCCAGCTGGGGCTTGTGGTCTCTGTGGGCTGAAATCCAGCCCATGTCAAAAGCAGCTCCTCCAACTGAGGTCAAAAGTGTGAAATGCTGGTTAGCCGTTCCCTTTTGATGGTTTCGGTTCCTGCACTTTTCTTTTGTTTTCTTTCCTTCTTTGACTCATCAAGCTGTTTCCAGCTCCTCATCCACGCCCATCGCTTTGACTACGCTTCCCTCGGCCGCCTAGTCCTCGTGGACCGATCTGCCTCTGAGGCTGGCCACCTGGGCTCCATCACACAGTTTTGGAAGGGATTTTGTCCAAACTGTGAGCAAACAACCCCACCCCTCTAGGCAATGCCACCAAAGATTCCTTCTATCAAAACAAAACTGGACAAACTGTGGCCCTCCTGAAGCAAAGTTCTTAACCTGAGGTACTATTTCTGGCTTAGTGGAGTCTGTAACCTGAAGCATCTGTAACCCAAGGTACCACTGTATTGGGGTGGTGGGGACTGCGGTTCAAGAACCTCAGGAAGACCACAGGACCCCTATCCCTGCCCTAGGAACTAGGGCTGGGACGTGACCTTTTCCCTACGCAAATATCACCAAGAGAAAAAGCAGCTTCCCATAAGGTTGCGAAAACGCTGTCAATTTCACTTCCTCAGTGCAGAGGTTTCCAAGACTTGAGTCTCACCAATTCCATGCTTTTTGCCCGGGATTGTGGGCGAGTGCTGCTGCATAATGCTCAAAGAACTGCATGCAGAAGCAGCAAGGAAGAGCCATGAAACGTCCACACACACACCCTTCCGCAGCAATTATGGAGAAGTCCGCCTGCTGCAGAAGTGAAGCACATAGCTCCCTTACTCCAAGAGTGGCAGTTAGGGTTGCCACCTGTCCTGTATAATACAGTGGTACCTTGGTTCTCAAACTTAATCCGTTCCAGAAGTCCATTCCAAAACCAAAGCGTTCCAAAACCAAGGCTCGCTTTCCCATCGAAAGTAATGCAAAATGGATTAATCCGTTCCAGACTTTTAAAAGCAACCGCTAAAACAGCAATTTCACTTGATTTTTACTATCTAATGAGACCTCTGATCCATAAAATGAAAGCAATAAACAATGTACTGCAGTCACACACACAATCAATCAATCAGTAGCTGAACTGGGTTCCAAACAGTCGCAAAAAACAAATAAAAAGTGCCGCAAAAACAGAAACGCAAAATAAATAGCAATAACAGGCAGACCTCAGCGTAATGATCAAAATGGAAGTGTAACACTCAAAACAGAAGTGTGGCACTCAAATCTGAAGTGTAACACTCAAAACAGAGCATGTTCAGCTTTCGAAGAAAGTTCGCAAACCGGAACACTTGCTTCTGGGTTTGCAGTGTTTGAGTTCCAAGTTGTTTGAGGACCAAGGCATTTGAGAACCAAGGTACCACTGTACAGAATTGTCCTGTATTTCAATGTAAAATGCTTTGTCCACTATTGATACAGTTCTGTCCTGTATTTCAGATCTTCCTTCCCTCCCTCCCTCTCTCTCTGCACCAAGTTAGGGATCCTCTCCAACTGCATGTGCTTGAAAGGGTGTGTGAAAGGTAATGTATTTAAGCTCTGGGTAGCCAAGCACAGACAGATTTATAGATTTGTGTATATGTGTGTGTGAATGTGCATGTGTGACAAATTCCAGAGGGGCCATCCTGTTAGGCTGCAAGAGATTGTAATGGATCGCTTTGAAGTCACTTCAGCAGCAGATTGGAGGGGGAATTGCCCCCCAACCACCCCGCCCTGCCCTATCATTAATTTTGCCAGAACAAAGGTGGCAACCCTACAGTTTCACAGACACAAGTCATCCAATACAGGGGACTGGGCCTGAGATCTTCTTCCTGCAAAGCCATGCAGGAGAGAGAGAGAGAGAGAGAGAGAGAGAGAGAGAGAGAGAGAGAGATTTGAGAACTTCTTCTCCAATCTGAAGTGAGATCAGAGGGCTTGTTAGTGACACCTCTGCCTCCTTTTTAAAATTAGTTTCTATTAAAGATTGTCATGTTGCAAAACAAGCAAATAAACAAGGGAAAGTACATATAGCGTCTCTTCTTTCTTTCTTTCTTTCTTTCTTTCTTTCTTTCTTTCTTTCTTTCTTTCTCCAAACCTTTATTGGGCATTACAGAAATAGACCATCTTAAGGCATCCATATACAGTCATAACTCGGGTTACAGACACTTCAGGTTGCACGTTTTCAGGTTGCACACCGCGCCAAACCTGGAAGTACCAGAACGGGTTACTTCCATGCACTTGCGCATGCGCAGAAGCACTAAATCGCGTGAATGAATAAATAACGGAAAGATGAGTAAACACCCCACAAGCAAATCAGGATGAATGTTCATAGACATATAAGTGCACCCATGAACAAATCAGAATGAATGCGCAATGAAGGCCAGATATCATCTAACCTCTGAGTAAGCTTTGTGGAAGCAAATGAGGACAAAGCTCAGTAAACACAAGAGGTCTATGGTGTGTGACACTCTACCCACTAGTCAATGCTACCTCTTCCAGCATTCCTGGCACCACACTTGTTGACCAGTGGCCTCCTTCGCCACACAAGGAAGCAAAATAGGAAATAGTGCCTAAATATTCAGCAGCGCTTTGTCTTGATGCTTAGGGAGACCCACTTAAGACACAGACAGGAGGGGTGATGGAATGAAATGAAATAGACTTACCAGAGTTCCTTCTGCGATTTTTGAACAATTGAAACAGGGAAACAGAAGAGTATCTCTCTCTGTCAGAAGCCTCCTAGCAGGTAGCAAGAGTCAAGCTATCAGGACTTTCTCACACGGCTCTTCGTGGCTAATTGCGATGGGGAGGATATCTTTCCCTAAACATTTCCCCCCTTTCTTTAATTATTATTTTATATATATATATATAAATCAGTCCAGGCAAACTATTCAGGCAGGACTATCTCTCTGTTGCTTCCTCCTATCACGCTCCGTATTGTTGTGCTCTTTTGCTCTTAATTTCAAAACCCTCCACAGATGCATTCATGGTTACCATAGGAACTAATGAAAACCAAATTAAACTGTAAAGGGGTGTGTGAAGAGACAGACAAATAAAAATAATAAGACCTCCCAGCTGTGAGTGAATCAACCGAAGAAGCAAAAAAAGGTGATAATTTGCTTGCAGCAGGGCAGGGAGAGAAAGATGGAGAGAGAGAGAGCAGATATATTATTGGTTATATAGTTCTGTTTTAGGTAGGGTTCTGTTTAGGGAAGTGCAAGGAAGTTGTGTCTCAGCTGTGACTGTGGAATTGCCATACCTTCCAAGTGCCCTGGGGGGGAAATACAGGACATCCCATTTTTTTCTTGCAAGAGCTCAGTGGCCATCATGGGTGCCTTAAACTTTTGCACTCTCACCCCCAAAAAAGTGCTTTTTCTGAGCCGAGAGCTCATGCAGTGTGTTTTTGGGCTCTGCAAGAGATCGGGGGGGGGGGCTGCAAAAAATGCTTTCTTGGGACGAGAGCAAAGTGCAGGCCATTTGACTTGCCTGGAAGAACGTCCCAGTTTGGCATTGGATGGTATGAGTTTATGGCCCTCACTTCCATTCCACCCACAGCTTTAGGGTGGCTGAAATATACTCGGGAGTCGAGAGTGGATTTCATGCTCTTTATTCAGCTCATAGTGGTGAGGAGGAATGGAAGTTCCCCCAGAATGTCTGCTTTATATACATTATTTACACAATGGGCCCCACGTGATTGGCTAATTCTGGGATTGACCTGTAGGCCAATCAGGTTGCAGATTCACTTCCACCTGGAGCTGGATTGGGTGGCTCCTGTGGACCAATCAGACTGCTCTAGGACCAATCAGACTGCTGCCTTTTGGATCCTGTTCAACTCAGTACATAACAGTGGCTAAGATCAGCAATTGTTAGATTAGTTGTGCAATAGCCTTCTCTGTCTACAATTCTCAGAGCGGTTTCGCAATGAATTCCTCTTCCCACGGAACTCTGGAAATTGTAGTTTTTGGAGGGGAATAGGTGCCTCCTGACAACTCTCAGCACCCTCGACAAACTATTGTTCCCAGGATTTATGAGGGGGGGAGATGACTGTTTAAAGTGGTATTATAGTGCTTTAAACATGTGATGCAGATGTGATCTATTTTTGCCTAATAGTGTGTCCAATCCAGTTGCCCACACAAAACAACAACAAAACATTCCTAAGAAGCTGCTGTTAAACTTGTAGTCCCAGGATGGAGAACATCAGATCTTGTTGGACTGCAACTCCCAGCAGTCACACACTGTATAGGTAATGGGCAAGGATGATGGGAGTTGTAGTCCAGCAAAACCATGAGGCCTACCAGTTCTCTACCTCCTTTATGATAGAGGTTTTTGAATTGAGCATGGGGGCAGAATTGAGACATTTCCCTGTCTCATGATTCTACAGATTGCAGTTGCCCAGTGAAATGGATTTACTTTCCCTGCTCTCATGATTCTAGATTTTGCCATCACCCAGTGAAAAAAATAGGAAGTTGCCTTATAATAGAACGGCCAGCATGAAATAGGAACTCCTTTAAAGAAAATAAAAGCCGTACCTAGCCTCTGCTTGGTTATTTTCCTCAGCACCTGACTTCATCTGTGCTAATCTATCAGACACTACAGTAGTAAACTTGAACACATCACCTAGGAAACATAGGCAGGTGTCTTATACCATTGGCCCATCTACTTTAGTATTGATCCAGGTTTGGGGCAAACAGGAAATCTCTCCCAGCCCTGCCTGGAGTTGCTGGGGGTTGTACCTGGGACCTGCAGGACCTGCAAGGAGATGCTGTGCTACTGAGCTACACCCCTTCCACACAGTAGATTTAGGACAGGCTCTGTAGTAGGACAGAAAAAAGAAAGAACTTCATGAATGGGACTCACTGTCACAAGATTGGCCTGTAGCTTTGGGACAATCTAGGCACCATGTTAATTGCATCAATGGCTCTTGAAAAGCAGCCAGATGATTTTCAAGGTCCAGTTTGCTGGCATCTCTAGTTAAAAGAACCAGGTATTTAGGTGAAGCCGGTCAGACGAGGACAACACTGAGATAGATTGCAAAATAGCTTGACTTAGCAGAAAACATCTCTCAAACACATCCTTCCCTGCTCCGACCATAAATACAAGTAAAGCCGTCATCAGCGGGGGTGGCAGATGGAAATTGTTTTCAAATTCAAATGGCCCAAGAGAACAACATAGCTTTTTAAAGGAAAAAGAAAGAAAAAAGTCAGGGCTGTGATTGAGAGGGACAACGCGGACCAATAGCCCCAAGCCAGGAATGTTATTGCTTTTTTGTTCATTGACTCATCCAGGATGTGACGGAACCAATCTCGACGCAGGAATCGCAGGAGGCATCAGACAGCGTTGCCAGCCTGTGCGTCAGCTTAATGAGGAAGAGCTGACAGTCTGTCAAACTGTCACACAGAGGGCAAATATTGTTCTTGGAGAACCAAAGCGTCAAGCGCTGTGCGGGGAGATCATAAAGAAACGGTTGACAGGACATCGATGGCAATCGACTAGATGGTGGAGGGGAAAGATGTAGCTCTGCGGATGTTGCTGAACTCATTCCCATCATCTCTGAACGTTTGGCCATAGCTGTAGCCCAACAAGATCCGGAGGATCACAGATCCATCACTGGATGGAGAACAGGCACGGGAAGCAAGCAGGCGGAGGCGCTGACTTGCACCCAACAGCATGTGTTGTTGTTGTTTTATTAGAAGAATTTCATTTATAGAAAGATAGAGCAGCACAAGAAAAAGTGAGTGAGAATGAAAAAGAGGGGGGAAATACTGTTACACTTCCATACATTAGTAAACAGATATGCATAAGTTTATTATCCTAATACACACATGTGATGTCATGTGCGCATTGCGCACTGTGCGCAAGACGTCACATCATTGGGAGGATGCTGAGCACAGATTTTCAATGGTTTCAATGGCCAGTGGCTCCTCCTCTCTTGTGCTCAGAAGGAGACGGCCACTGAAGCCACACTGCATTCGGCTTCACACTTAGCCTCCTCCATCCTGTCAACATTGAGGAAGATGCCTTCACCCTATAGAGGTGGTGACAGTGCAACCAGCCCAGGTACTGACAGCTGGGGATATTTGCGGGTCTCAGAACCAGACAAAGTCAAACTCAACCTTCCACAACCCCAGGACCTCCAGATATCCTTGGACTACAGCTCCCATCATCCCTGCGCAACGGCCATTGTGGCTGTAGCTCATGGGAGTTTGAGTCTTAACAATGTCAGGAAGGGACCTGGTTGGGAAAGGGTGTTCTACCTTGGTGCAGAAATTAATGAAACAAATTGCTACAACAGGGGGTTGGGAAATGCTCTCTAGGTGTGTTCTGCTTTGCAGAGGACAGTCCTCTGTGTGAAAGACTGCTAGGTCAAACTCCACCACCACACACACCCCCAGACCACTTGAGAATTGCTGAGAGTCCTGGAGTACCGATCAATGATTTTTCTGCTGGTTGCTTGGCAATTCTAATACGCTATGCTAGATGTCGTGGTCCTGAATGAAGCTGTTTCACGGACCAGGCTTTCGGAACCTCTGTTCGAGAGCGTTCCTTTCTTGTTCCCACAAAGCGAAAGCTGTATGATTCCTACAGCCTACTGCCCAAGCCTCACTTCAAACGGAAAAGGGCTGAATTGGATATAATTGTTCAGAACATGAATCACCTCGGCCTTCGGAAGTGGGCTGCAGGAGGTGGAGGGTGGAGAGAGAAATAACCAGGCGTACCGAGATTAAAAATAGTGCAGCGGCAGAAATGAAAACAAAACAGGGGCAGAAGGCAGCATTCCGGTTTCCCCTTCCCCGCTTGGAGTTGCCAGGAGCTGGCAGCTTCTATGGCTACATTTGGTCCATGGTGAAAGCAATTTCTCCTTCCCAGGTCTACATAGGAAGCTGCCTTATACACAGTCAGTCTCAGTGGTCCATCTAACTCGTTATTGTTAACACTGATTGGCAGTGATTGTGCACGGTTTCCAGATTTTCCCAGCCCTACCTTGTGATGCAACCAGGGATTGAACCTGGGACCCTCTGCATGCAAAGCAGATGCTCTAACCACTAAGCTACACCACCCTTCCCATCCAGACTCATGTTCTCTGGCCTCAAT